CCCCATCCTTCTCCCCCTCCTCCTCCCCTCCTCCTCCCCGTCCTCCTCCACTCCTCTCCTCCTCCTTCTCTCTCTCCTCCTCCTCCTTGTTCTTCTCCCCCTCCTCCTCCTCCTCCTCCTCTTTCTTCTTTTTTTCCTCCTCCTCCTCTTTCTTCTTTTTTTCCTCCTCCTACTCCTTTCTGGAGCCCCAGCCCATAGAATGGTTGGTTCTGCCCACATTTGGAAGGCATCTTCCACTACAATTGCATTAATCTAGAAAATTCCCCACAGGCATATCCAGAAGCTATCCCCTTGATGATGCTGCGCCCTGTCAGCTGACACTAGTGCCCTTCATGGTATCCTCCACTGTCTCTGTTCCCGGCCCAGGGGTTACTTTCGAAGGACACGTGGTGCTTTTTCCCACTGGAATCATGTAACCTCAGAAATCTTCTCTGTTCGTTTCACTGAAAGTTGTTGATCAGAGCAGGCAACATGGTTGAGATCTAAGCGCCTTTAAGAGTTGACTTGTGACGTGAATTCACTTGCTGTCCTTATTTTAGGTTATCTTCCTTTATGGACAGTGTGTCTGACTCCCCAACAAGATCACTTCCTTCCAAGAGCTACCGGTTCACCAAGCAGTTATTAATATGTGTGGCACACATTTGATACCTAATAAATGTCTAAAATAAACCAAACAAGACAGCCCTTGAAGTTGAGCTAGCTGAAGGGCAGGAAATTTCAAAACAAGTATAGTAAATTAGTTACTACCCCCCTAACACATAATAGTAATCTAGCTCACAGGACTCTTGTCACTGCAAAGAGAAAAAGCCCTGGGGGAGTGAAGGACAGGAAACTCTGTGGATTTTTTTCTCTGGCTTACTATTGTGGCAATTGTGGAGTAAGAACCCTGAGAGAAAGGGAGATGCATGGATGTCAGCTACAGTATCTAGTCTTTTTAAAAAGGCAAGTGAAAAACAAAGTTAAAGTACAGTAGAGAAACCAATAAAAGATTTCAAATTGGGGAGACAGTAAGTTTTGATAGGATAGCATAGCAGAAGAGAATACTGGCGTACGTTTGCAGCCTGTAGCAGTTCCAGATCTGGCACCGGCTGTGGATGACCATGTATGTGGCCGCCATTCTTTGTGCCTCCCGGTTCTGTTTTTGGGGTAAAAGTTAGGTAAGTGGTTCCTCTGGGGTTTTATGTACCGAGGATTTAAAAAGGTATGCCACGCTTCTGTCTCACTTCAGTGGTGTGACTGCCAAGCCCTCCCTCGGCTATTCCAGGTACCGCCCCCTACTGAATGGGTTTTGTTCTTGTCACCGCCGTTCCCAGTTTCCCGCCTCGCGATTCCGGAGTTGGCCGCTAACGAGGCCTGTGTGCCTGCTTCTGTTTGTCACCCTAGCCTGTGTGACCTGAGCGACCTGGAGTACCTCGATGAGGAGTTCCACCAGAGCCTCCAGTGGATGAAAGACAATGACATCCATGACATCCTCGACCTCACGTTCACTGTGAACGAAGAAGTGTTTGGACAGGTCTGTTACAGGCTCACGGGAGGTCGCTGGCTGATGGAAAGCTAGTTCCACAGCTAAGATCAAATGCCAGTCTCCTTGTGGCTCCTTGGGCGATTGAACCCAGGACTCAACTGTACTAAGCTTGAGGGCAGAGATTATTCTAATGCCAACTACAGTTTAAGGTGTTCTCATTTATAGATTATGAGAAGGATTTATATATTATAAATAATCTTTTTACTTCCAACTCAAATGGATATGAGATATGAGACTATCTAGAGATATCTAGAGATGTGATAATATATATCACACAGAATACATTTGAAGAGTCCCTGCTATCCCTGAGTTGGATATGAAATTATTTGATTTTAATATAAAATTAAGATCCATTTAGATTTAAAAACTGTAATTGGTCGGTTTGAAACAGAATACTTTTGAAGAGTGCTTGAAAACAGAGAGCATATTGGTTTTATTTTAAATTTGATGGCAGAAAAGACTAAAAGATTCAAAAGACTAAAAGATTCCTGTCAGGAGCAACGTATTAGTTTTCCCTAGGCATTGGATCAGGAGCTACGTAGTAGTCCTATTAGGAGCTATTAGGTATTAGTTCTTGCTGGGCATTGGATCAGGAGCAATGTATTAGTTCTCCCTGGGCATTGGGCTTCACCTGGGTTCCCTGTACTCCATGTGTTTTGAAAAATGAGCTCCCAATTTAAGATTTACTCGGGCATGTTTCTGTTTTCCTTAGGCCTGTCTTTTACAACTGGCTCAGTAGGTATGGTTGATTCCAGACCTTAGATCAGCGGTTCTCAACCTGTGGGTTGTAACCTTTTGGGAGTCGAATGCCCCTTTCACAGGGTCCCCTAAGACCATCTGCATAGCAGATACTTGCATTATAATTCATAACAGTAGCAAAAGTACACTTATGAAAAATAGCAATGAAATCATTTTGTGGTTAGGGGTCCCCACAACATGGAGAACTGTGTAATAGGGTTGCGGCAGCATCAGGAAGGTTGAGAAGCACTGCCCTAGATGCTTCTCCCTGCTATGGGATGCACCTGAGGCGGAGAAGGGCTGGATGCCTGGCCTCAGCTCGTTGGTAGCAGTTCTCATCAAGCGTGCGGCTTTCTGATCAGTTCCTTTGCTTTGCAATGGCAGATTACTGAACGAGAGTTAAAACCAGGAGGAGCCAACATCCCGGTCACAGAGAAGAACAAGAAGGAGTACATCGAAAGGATGGTGAAGTGGAGGATCGAGAGGGGCGTGGTGCAGCAGACCGAGAGCCTAGTCCGTGGTTTCTACGAGGTGAGGCGGCAGTGGCAGACGGATGAGGTCCCCCAGCTCGACTGCCCGTCCCTTCTACCAGGCTTCACGTAGAGAATATTTTTCTCTTCTCTCTTGCTATGTTTACTCTTGTTCTTTTAATTCAGAAAGTCACATATGTTCCCGTATGTCTCCAAAGTACATATGTGAAGTTATAAGCTTACCATGCGTGTTAGAAGAGATCATGGAAGTGAATGGTACCCTGGTTTTGGTTGTACCATTTTAATGGCTTAATGACTCCTGATAACATGGAAGCTATGATTCTGACTCGTGTGTAGATATGCACAACCAAATCTCCCACCTGATATGTGCAATGATTGCGTGTACAGGCCAGAATTTATCATGCGTATTCCATGTAACTTTCTCTGTAAGATCACTGGATCTTTTTCAAAAGGAAAACGACAAACAACTAGATTAACCAATGGTCAGTTGTGCAACAAAGCCCTCCTAGTCTAGAACTCACCAGACACTGCCTTGCTTAGCTTCTGAGGCCAGAGGAGACCCAGCAGGGGGTGTGGGATATGGTGATCAACTAACACAAGAATTCCCGAGGCTAATCCTACCGACTTTCAACCAATCTGCACAGTAGGACAAGTTCCGCATACTAGTGCCGAGTACAACTAACCATCGTCCTCTTGAAATTCCCTGTGCCCTGCACTTCTGATGCATCTTCCTGATGGCTGACGTGTCCCTAGGCTCCTAAGCCATGCCCGTGCCCTTTCTGTTCCGCAGGTGGTAGATGCCAGGCTGGTATCTGTCTTTGATGCGCGAGAGCTGGAGCTGGTCATCGCTGGCACCGCCGAAATAGACCTCAACGACTGGAGAAACAACACTGAATACAGAGGCGGTGAGGTTTGATTCGTGAATGTCTAGATTTAAGTTACAGGGGGTGCCTAGTTCCAGCGCGGGTCTGAGCACAGGGCAAAGGCATTTGCTTTAATCATTGGTCTGCCGCTGTTTTCCTGGAGACCTTGGGCAGGGTGGGTCCCTTCTGTACCTAGTGACTCCATTAGTCGAAAAGGGGGAGGACTGTTTACACCCCTCTGAGGATGTCATAACTCCTAATTGCTGGTGAAGAAATGTGATCATTAGAACTCCAATTAATTATTGGCTGACGTCGTTAGTGAGGCATGGGGCGGTTCTAGCCAGCTGGTCAAACCCTACCTGACTGATCTACATTTTAAACCTCCAGATGCCACACCCTTTGGGCTTCCCAACCCGCACAGGTGTGGAAGAACCAAACTCTCTGTCAGTGAGAGCTCACAGTTAAAACCCTAGCAGGAACAAGGTAGGGGGGTCTCTAAATTTGCCTGCCCATCTGCAAGACCCTTCTCAGCCGGAGCTTGATTCTGACTGGAAAGGGAACTGCTGTGAGATCATTTTAAGCGGGGGG